AACTTCTACCAACATCCCAACAGCATGCACTTGCAAAGGGTATGAATTTATAAAATGTTGAGGATTTCACCACTTGTCTTCTGGAAGTCTTTCTGGTTTGGTTTGTTTTAAAAATGATGACACGCTTCAATCTCAAACTTCCAATATCACCTGTGAAAAGAGGGTGTAACAGCACCAGCTCATTGCAGGATAAGAATCTGCAAGTGTGAAAATCCCAAGCACTGTGAGTTATCAAATATTCTCTGTTTACAAAATGCTCTGAATGCAATCGTTTTGGTTTACTGAAAAGGAGTTTCCAAAACTCTGGATCTCATCCTGCACACCCCTACTAATGCAGGTCAAGGAATTTGCCTGTATATCAAGACCAAAATGAATAAATACAAAATATATTTGGTATAGAAAATACTAGTATAAAAATTAAAAATCACCCTGTTTTACTGTCCATCGAAATATTAACAGCAAGCATTACAAGTTACTTTTTTAACCTATTGCCAAAATCATTTCCAAAGAGTTCTGCATTCCTGAAGTGCTGGTGATTGCATTTGCCCAAGTATTGTGGGGGGAAAAAAAAAAAACAAAATAGGGAAGGAATGAGAAAATATATGATAGATTTCTCACATAGCATTATTAACAGAGGACCTAAACTGAAGGAAACTAAAGTATGCGCAAACACGGCAGAAAAAAGCCATTGTCAGTTCTGCTCTATCCATCAGAGCTCTTCCTGATCGCCAGACAGTTTAGAGAAGGTGCTCCCTCACACTAGCCCTGACAGACAGATGATGGCAAGGGGATGAGCATACTCAGAGCACTGCTGCTCTTCGGTTTCTCTGCTGTGGCAATCCTGCTGAGTTTGCCAACCTCTGTCTGCCAGCTGGGAATCTTCTTTGTGGTCATATGGCGGCGGGTGTGCTTTGTCAAGTGATCGCTGCGCATGAAGCGACGCTCACACACCGGACAAGCAAACTTCTTCTCTCCCGTGTGCGTTCTGCGGTGGCGTGACAGTTCGTCTGAGCGGGCAAACTTCTTGTCACAGCCTTCCCAGTTGCAGTTGAAAGGCTTTTCTCCTGCAGGGCATAAAAGAAGCATAATTCACTTTTGAGAAGCTATGTTACAGTTTTAACGAAGAACTAACTTAAATCCTGCCTTGCAAAAAACGATGAATTCCACAGAGCCGTTCATGTGTGCAGTCAATATTAGCTTAAGCTCAAGTTGTGTTCTGCACAAAAATCATAGGTATCACTTCTATGTATTCCCTCCCATCACTTGAAATGTTCTTTAATCAAGTCTATTTTTTCAGTTGTCCAAAGCCCCGGTTTAAAGAAGACGATTCTTCATAATGGTACCTTACCTGCTGACTGAACTAGAAGCAATCCCCTGCCCCCATCCCTATGTGACCACAGCTCCACAGCTGGTGCATGTTACCAGCCAATACTGCAGGCAAATGGGAAGACTGGAATCAAGCCTCCAAGTCCTGCTGCTCCACTGACCTGGTCCTACACAAAAATACACTGCCCTAGCGAGTACTACCAAAGAAAGGCCTGTCCTGCAATTCCTCACAGACAGATAGGGGAATTCTGCACGTCCAGGAATGACAGCAGGCAGAAAGGCTGTTCACATCAGCTTCTGCTCATCCTGGGCAACTGCTTAACATCAGACCTATCCTAAACAACACAATCTACTGCCTGCAACCCTCGTAAAGCTCAGGATAAGCATCTACTGCATGACCCAAATTTATGGTAACACTCTGGAGCAGGACGCAAATGTCCAGCAGAAAGGAAGCCCCACAGAAATGTTACTCTTATTTCAGGTATCTGTGTTTGTTGCACTTGGTATCAACCTAGCTACTCAGTGCACAGGGAAAAGAAAGATGAACTACTCTGCCTCCTGATCCTGTAACGTGGGCTAGCTAGCAAGGGCTCAGCATGCTACACCTCCCACAGATGTCCCAGTCTTAATCAGGATACAGGGATGCACACACCTTCCTCATGGATCATGAGCAGCATGCGAATGAGAAACTTGTTGCTAGTCTATGTTTATCCTGTAGTGCCAGGTTAATTCAGCAGCCTGCAGCACTTACTCTCAAGCCAGAAGCATCATTCTACCTCAGAGCTCTGGTTTACAAGGATTATCAGCTTCATATAAGGCTTAAGCTCTTTCCCCAAAGGAACTGTAAAGACAAGCTGCCAAACTAATGCAAATCCTGCTACAGAAGCTGACATCCCATAAACCACAGTGTCTGCAGGGCAAGGGAGGGTAGGGTTAAAAAGCCAAGGAAAAACAAAATTAGAAAAACTTTTGAATGAGCTATTCTGTACCAATTTCCCACTATGCCTATCCCTCAACATCAAAAGTAGTCCCCAAGAACACACAGTTAGTTTTAACTTAACAGGATCCTGGAGCCAGAAAAAGGGTAAGTAAATCACATGTATACTGTCTCCACACTGACCAGATTTTATGGAGCATATCAGACCAACCACCTGTACTATGGTTTGCTTACACCAGACCTCTCCATGCCCCCCAAAAAATAAAAATAAAAAAATAAAGAACTGCACAATTCATTTCCATTTAGTCCAGATAGCACACACAGATGGCAAAGCTTTGCTCCAGCTGAAGCATGTGAAATTCAACTAGAACTACGGGGTCAGCTGAGGTCTCAGAACAAAGTCTGTCTTGTTTTGCTTGTCTATGAAGAATGAACATTCCTCCCTTCTCTGAAACGAGCAGAAGTTTCCCCATTACCTGTCTCGTCCCTTTCCCACCCCCTCCCCTAAAAACCCATGCATTTCAGCACCCCAACGCAAGCCAGTGCCAGAGTGACAAAGGACTTGCCCTCTTGTACGCACCAGTGTGGGTGCGAAGGTGGGCTTTGAGGTGGGAGCTTTTGAAATAGGTTTTCTTGCACCCAGGGAAGTTGCAAACATAATTCCTCCGTCTAGAAAAGTCCACCTGGGGAGCACAGCTTTGGCCAGAAGCGATGAACACGGGAGCAGGGGCAAGGGGCAGTAACTTGGTGTTGCCAACAGTCATTACTGTTTGCGGGCACGGCGGCGTAGGTGTGACAGCAGTCTGTGGGAGAACCAACATGACAGTCCCCTGAGGCACAGAAGGTCCCATGAGTACAGGCTGAGAGAGCGGGGCTGTCTGTGGTAAAATAGGTTTCATGGGAGTTGAGACTGTTGGAGTTGGAGGTTTGACATAGGCATTGATCATACCGCTTTGTCCATTTAAAGGGATCATTTGGCAGAGAACCTGGGGGCTTGAAACAGGGGCGGGTGTCACTGGCGTAGCTCTTTTTTGCAAGTCATTCTCACAGTTCTCTGGTAAATGGGTCTGCGGTGAAAGAGGCCGGACCACTAGTTGTCCTTTATTGGTCACAGTATCACCAGAGTCCTGTGCATAAGGCTGATGTACTGGAGAGGTTTTGTTAATTAAATCATCAGCAGCACATGGCTCCTGGGGCAGTCTGGAATGTCTTCGGTCATCCACTCCACACCAGTCTCTGGAAGCACTGTAGCCTGAAGTCACCTTTGTTTTCCCTTGCACAGCAGAAGAGCTATCTCCTGTGTGACGTATGACACTTGTTGCCATGGCCCTGCAAGGCTGAGGGGCAAAGGATTCAGCTATCACTGGCTTCTGGCTGCATGGAGACATGTTGGTAACAGATGGCTTGGTTATGGGAGAGGCACCAGTCACTGAAGTGACTGAACAGACAGCTGTATTTGCCATGACAGTCCTTGGTTTGGAATAAGTGACTTGCGAGGAGAGGAGAGTAGCAGCCGATACCTCAACAAAGTCAGGGCTGTGCGGAGGGGTCATGCACTGCAAAAAAGAAAACACCATTACACATAAAATTACAACCCATGCCCAGAACCTGTCTCTTAGGACAAACTGCTTAAAGAATGCTGCCATGGCTTAACACAGCCAGCAACTGAGTACCACACAGCCACTTGGTCACTCCAGCCTCCCCTTACCCCTTCCCAGTGGGATGGGGAGAAGAACTGGAAGAAGGTAAAACCCATGAGTTGAAATAAGAACAGTTTAATAATTGAATTAAAGAATAAATAATAACAAAATAACTGAAAGAAAAAAAGACAAAGGGATAAAACCCCACAAACTGTAAGTGATGCACAATACACTTGCTCACCACCCACTTACTGATGCCCAGCCCAACCCGAGCAATGATTGGTCCCTTCTGGGTCACTCCCCCCACTTTATATACTGGATATGACATGCTGTGGTATGGAAGACCCCTTTGGCTAGATCGGGTCAGGTGTCCTCACTGTGCTCCCTCCTGACGCCTTCTCATTGGCAGAACATGGGAAACTGAAAAGTCCTTGACTTAGGGTAAACACTACTGAGCAACAACTAAAATAATGGCATGTTATCAGCATTATTCTCAGACTAAATCCAAAACACAGCACTGCACCAGCTACTAGAAAGAAAACTAACTCTATCCCGGCCAAAACCAGGACAGTATCCCCCCCTTATTCCATACCATTTAAGTCATGCCAGGTCCCACACTTCCCAGTTTTTTTATCTTTTGATATAGACGCACAGGTATCATTCCCTTAGTCTATGGACCATCCCTCTAAAATGCCTGCTGAGTTCATTTAGCCTATGACTTTGGGCTCCATCTGTCATAACAGTCCTTCAGGGCAGTAGAGATGGTGCGTGGTGTTGGACTGCTGTGCACTGAAGCTAGTTCTGATTCCATCACCACTGCACTTGTTCAGTTTCATCAAAGTTAATTCTTCATTAATCTAGGTGATTTTTACTGCAATAGCCTTGATATGGCAGACAGCCACCAAAGAAGTGATAATATACAGAATTATATAGCAATTAACATCATACAGTTTAGTTCATCGGCTATTTTCACTAAATCAAATCCCCTTGAGGTACATGCCAGAATTCCCCATCCTCCCACATTACCTACCAAGTACACCCAGGTCCATGAATGGGTTTGCCTTTTCCTGAAGCAGGAACAACCCAGGCTGTCTTCCCCAGCAAATTCTTTATGTGCACCACAGGGACTTTATCCCCCTCTACAGTACGTAAAAGTTCTGATTGGGCTGGGCCAGCCCTGTTGGCAGATCCCCTCATGTTGACCAACCAGGTGGCTTTTGGTAAATGTGTATCCCAGTGTTTGAAAGTCCCACCACCCATTGCTCTCAGCGTAGTTTTTAGCAGCCCATTGTACCGTTCGATTTTCCCAGAGGCTGGTGCATGGTAGGGGATGTGATATACCCACTCAATGCCATGCTCTTTGACCCAAGTGTCTACAAGGTTGTTCCAGAAATGAGTCCCATTGTCTGACTCGGTCCTCTCTAGGGTGCCGTGTCGCCACAAGACTTGTTTCTCAAGGCCCAGGATAGTGTTCTGGGCAGTGGCGTGGGGCACAGCGTATGTTTCCAGCCATCCGGTGGTTGCTTCCACCATGGGAAGCACATTCTGGTGTTCCTCAGTGGCCCGAAACTTGGGAACATGAGCATCTACGTGGCGTACCTTCACCACCAGGTTCTGCACCTGGGCAGCGATATCTTGCCACAGTGCAGCAGCCCAGATGGGTTTACCTCTGTGTTGCCAGTTGCTCTGCTTCCATGGCTGCAACCACCCCCACAGGGCATTTGCCACCATCCATGAGTCAGTATAGAGATAAAGTGCTGGCCATTTTTCTCGTTCAGCAATGTCCAAGGCCAGCTGGATGGCTTTCACCTCTGCAAACTGACTCGATTCACCCTCTCCTTCAGCAACTTCTTGTAGGAAACTCCATCTAGATGCCTTCCATCTCCCACAATAGAGCATTGTACTGACAAGCTACTTCATCCTCTTCACCTCCCCAGGTCATTACTGCTGATGAGTTGGCATGCAATGATGGTGCACTCCACACAAATTTCCACCACGTGAGCCGTGTGCACTGGACTTGTGCCTGGATCTGTGGGTGACTCTGTGTTGTTCAGGTCATAATAAATCACCTCCAGCAGAGCTAATTCCCTCAGGTACTGGACACCTCTCCATCACAGTGGCTCACTTGCTTGGGTGACATATAGCATCTTCCTTGAAGGGATACCTTTCCTGCAACGCTGACAGCAGTCATCTCCAGAGGCTGATAGCTTGTGCCCCTTTCCCAATCACTTTGTCAATGCTCCCTTCCCTACAGTGATCCCAGCTGCTTGGCTTCCCTACCCTCTAATTGGAGGCTACTGGCCCCATTATCCCAGCATCACAGCAGCCAGGTGACAATGTGCTCACCTACGTGATGGCTGAAATCTTTTGTATATCCCACAGCTCACCCAGGGATAGGGAATGGGTGGGTACCTCTGGTTCTGCCTCTTCCTCCTGTTCTTGTGATGTCCCTGTTTTGTCCTTCTTTACCAAACAAGCTGACTTTCATGTCCATTTCTATTTCTGTACAAGGGCAACTGATAGCAGCATGGATTGGTCCTCTGGTTTAGCTGTACCACCCCTTTACCGAGGTCTGGAAAGCTGCAGTGCCTGCCACTGGGGCCTGAGTAGCTGCAAATAGTTGCTTAACCCTAAACAACACCTGAACCACATTCATGGTTCCCAGCAATAGGACCATACTGGTTTCAGCATCCCAAGCATATTAAAATTTTCAAAATTCTCAAATGCTAATTAGCCTGGAAGAGAAGGGGAAGATGTGGGAAGATGACTCCTCCATAGGTTGGCTCTCCAAGCAGAAAAAGTAAAAGGTGTAATTATTAATAGCTTCCAATAGGTGGTTCCCAAAGTACGGAGGTGATGGCAGTGCTGAGTACAAATACCAGATTAGTTTCATGGCCAGCAAATCTATCATATCATAAGTGAACGTTACAAAGTACATCAAAATGATAACCTCAACCCAGCCCCCAAAGGAGATGAATGTCACCGCAGGGAACACAGATAGCAAGTGAGGAGTTACATGATGCAATGTTGAGAGCGAGCGCAACAACCCTGAGAGCAAATACCGAAAAATGAGAGCAAATTGAGACCAGCAACTATTAAACCAAAACAATGAATGCTTGAAACAAACTTAGATAACCCACAATGGGATGTGGAGGAGAATCAGAAAAAGGCAAAACCTGCGGGTTAAGAACAGTTTAATAATTTAAATAAAACATTATAATAATATTTGTAAAGAAAGGGGAAACAACAAAAAGAGAGGAATAACCCTCAAGACAGACACGTGATGCACAGTACAACTGTTTACCACTTGCTGACTGATGCTCAGCCCACCCCTAAGCAGCGATCAGCTGCTACCAGCCAACTCTCTCCAGTTTATATACTGGGCATGACATGCTGAATATCTCTTTGGCTAGTTTGGGTCAGCTGTCCTGGCTCTGCTCTCCTCCAGCTTCCTGTGCCTCTCCTCACTGGCAGAGCACGAGAGACTGGAAAGTCCTTGACTTTGCTTAAACACTGCTGAGCAACACTTAACCCTGGGTGTGTTATCAACATTATTCTCAGACTAAATCACTGGCACTGCACCAGCCAGTAGGAAGAAAACTGACTGTACTACAAAAAACTTATTCCTTTCTCCTCAGCGATGGGTACAGCTGTAAGAGGCTATAAGCACTCTGCTGTTCACAGAAAACAGACTAGCAACAGACAGCAATTTCAGTTTCAAGGTTCCAGCAAGCCCTTCATATTTTATCAATGATTACCCCATCAGCTAGTGGCTACTTCTGAGATAAAGACAAATGGAACTGCGCTTTCCCTTCTTTTTTATTCATT